CAAAAGCCTTCCACCATGTCATGTCCTTCACAGCCTTAGATCTTGAAGCAAGTGCAATTTTCCCGTCGCTCAATTGAGCCAATTCCATGCTCGCATCATTTTCAACGAGGCGAAAACTGAAACTAGAGGATTCTCTTGGTACAACCACGTGCGCCATGGTGGAAAGGCTTTCGCACACATACTTTTGCTTTTCGGTTGGCGCCGGCACTGGCGCTTTGGTTACATAATTTTCTCCGGCCGCCTTGTAGAATACCCTCAGACAGCAAGGAGCCGCAACCCGCTCCTGGTTCCCTTCCTGACCGGACCGAGGGCTTTTGTTAGTTGATGGTCCGGCCCCTGCCTCACCTCATGGCGAGAGGTGGTAAGACATTGGGTCCGACTTTTGCTTAGCGATAGTCCCCTCCACATCATCCGACACAAGCCCCGCAGCGGAGAGAGTTCTTTTGCAAATCATCTTCTTTTCGCAGGTATTGCGTTTTTTTTGCAAAACACACCTGTATACTCGCATGTTGATTTACACCTTTGGACTCCTTCAAGCCCACATGTAAGTTTTAAACCGGTAGGTGAATGAGTTCAATCGAGCAGTAAACAGGTGTATTCTTTGCAGCACCCAACGGGTGTTGGATTTGGGGGTTTTGCACCGACCGGCTGAGGGTGCAGAGCGCAGACGCAGTACTTCGAGGTGCTGCAGTGCTCCGGATTTGATGCTTTGACCTCTCTGAAAACACCACGAGGCAAAGCACCAAACCCGCCCAGACACACAAACAAACAAGCAAGCAAGCAAACCAGCAAACACAGACAGACAGACAGACAGACAGAGACAGACAGACAGGCAGGGAGGCAGGCAGGCAGGCCAACGAACGAACGGAGGGACCGACGGACGAACAAAAAGACAACGAGGCCAACAACAGTTCAATCGAACAAACAAAGAAGCGAAATAACAAACATGCATACACACACACATACATACATACATACATGCATGTATGCATGCATACACATACATACACACATACATACACACACACACACATACATACATACATACATACTTACTTACTTACTTACTTACTTACTTACTTACTTACTATACGTACATACATACATACATACATACATACATACCTACCTACATACATACATACATACATACATACATACATACATACGTACATACATACACACACACACGTACGTGAGTACGTACACACATACATACATACATACATACATACAGACATACATACATACATACATACATACATACACACACACACACGTACGTGAGTACGTACACACATACATACATACATACATACATACATACATACATACATACATACATACATACATACATACATACATACATACATACATACATACATACATACATACATACATACATACATACATACATACATACATACATACATACATACATACATACATATACATACATACATACATACATACATACATACATACATACATACATACATACATACATACATACATACATACATACATACATACATACATACATACATACATACATACATACATACATACATACATACATACATACATACATTACATTACATTACATTACATTACATTACATTACATTACATTACATTACATTACATTACATTACATTACATTACATTACATTACATTACATTACATTACATTACATTACATTACATTACATTACATTACATTACATACATTACATTACATTACATACATACATTACATTACATTACATACATACATACATACATACATACATACATACATACATACATACATACATACATACATACATACATACATACATACATACATACATACATACTATACATACTATACACACATACTATACATACGTACGTACATACATACATACATACGTTCATACATACATACATACATACATACATACATACATACATACATACATACATACATACATACATACATACATACATACATACACACACACACACGTACGTGAGTACGTACACACATACGTACATGCATACATACATACATGCGCATGCACACACACACACACAAAGTATGAAGAAACACATGTGCCAGGCAATTTGTTCGGCTTCAGCACTGTGGGCCGTGAGAGAGCGCTTTAGGTACCGGGGCCCTTCCCAATGCACAAGATGTCAGTGCAGGAGTCTAAGATTCCGGTCCCGACTGCGTGGTTTACCGCAGCTCGCGTAAGGTCTGAACCAGAACTCGGAGGTGTGCAGAGAGCTTCGGTCGGGCTTCTTCTTGAGAGAGAAGGGCTGCCAGGACGGTGCGAGGGGTTCAGGGCGTGGGATGCACAGGTTCAATCAGAATACTCTTTGTGTATGCATAATGTGGGAAAGACAATGGGGCCTTGTAAAAGTTTCCACAAAAACCAAGGGACTCACACATTTTCCTGTCCTCTTGGGGAGACGAGTAGCTTCGACCTGAAGGGTTGGCAAAGGATCCTTTTGGGCTGTGTAGGCAACGCAATGTGTCCCCAGCCTGACGTCCCCTCTCCTGATGGTCGCCAGGGCTGTGAGGCTGTTAGGATTACCACAAGGCCTCATGATCCGGCGGGCCCTTAAAGCTCGATGCGCTCCTCTCTGACTCCAAGTTTTCTGCCTGAGAAAGAGCAAGCTAGCAGATGGCTGGGCATCTTCTTGCTCTGAGAGAGAAGGACCTGACTCAGGACACGAAGATCTGTACCAACTGCGCCTATGGCAATGGCACAGCTCCCACCACCTGTGTGTGCGAGAATCCGCCCTTCTCGGTGCCAGCCAAGTGCGCAAGAGCTACAAGTACCATCAGAGTGGGACGAAACTGTTTGCCCCCAACGGAAACGGGAATTGGGAAGGTTCAGTGTTGTTGTGGGAAGTCAACCCCCGGATATTTTCTCCAGACCAACAGTAGGCTACCAACAGCGATTGCGCAAGGTACAATGAAGAGTGCGGCATGGGCAAGGAGTGTGCTGAGGCGGGAAAGGGCGCACGCGGAAGGCACGCAAAGGCCAGAATGACAGAGGTGAAAGGTGTTGCTTGGGTATTTCCTATATTTGGTCTGAGCTCAGCTTTTAAACGGGAGATGCTGGTCTACTTCTTGGAAGACGCTTTGAGTGGTGGTTGGTAGATTTGAAACAATTTAAAAGTTTTGTGTGCGCAGGCAACAGCGCATTTGGGCATCATTGTATCATTGTGATGCTGGTCTATTCCGTTCCTCAATCATGATGTTGCCCAAGCTCTCTTCCCTCGTTGGAGTGGCTGCGTCAGGGCGAAGGCATTTGCTACCGGCCGTGCCGGGCGCTCAGTGCGGCAATTCGTCGCGCATACCTTGCTGTGTGCGGGGCACGCGTGGGGCTTGCGGCGTGCGGAGGTATGACTTTCTTGCACGTGACCTCCTGCCCAGTCGACTACTGTCAGTGGAACAGACTGACCCTGATATGCGAAGATAGGCTGGAACACAAGGGTGACAGGCTTGCCAGGCCCAATCTCGAGCAACCCCACCCTTCGCTCCAAGTTAACACCTTTGTGCTCAGGCTTCGCAAGCTGCTTTGTTTCCTGAAGGTTCACTCAGGTAACCCTGAATGGGTGGTGTATATTGGTGGTTTGGGGATTTGATCCGGTTCTGTACGGCGTAAATGGGAAACCCCCCAACCTCCAAACCACCAATCCACATAGAGGGAGGCTTCACTAGGCAGCTCAGCTTAGCAAGTCAGGCCATGGCGCTTGCTGGCTGTCAGGTCAATGGACATGCCCACGGTCTATTGGCGTGACACCAGCGTAGGCTCGGACGGGAGGAAAGCATGCCGCAAATAGCTCTCACCAAGGTTAGTTGAACGTTCCCCAATTCCAATGTTTATGTTTCCTGTCTTTGAACCGTGTTTTTGTTCTTTCTTTTTTTCGGGGGGTGGCGAGGGACCCTGGATTATCTGCCCGCGCAAATGGGGTCGCCGAGGTGCAACGGTGACCGAGAAGGCCGTAGAGATCATCCAGAGGACGGAGCCTGCCGCCGCATACTTCCCGATGAGCCGGGGCCTCTGCGCGACTGAATCTCAAGATTGGGGGAACCGCTTTGTCGCCGGAGCTTTTCCACATGTCCCCAAAACACAAACCGCAAAGCGCAGAGCCACGTTGGTCCTGTTTCTGGGCGTTGGGCCCGTGGACTTCAAGAGACACGCTTCGTCTCGCTACACATCGCTCAGGCTTTGCCGCTTTCCGGAAGAGCGCGGAAGGGTTCCGGATCGAAGGTGTTCTGATTGAGGCTGGCACGAAGACGGGTCGCGCTCCTGAAATCAGTTTTCTGCTTCCCAACATGTGTCAACAGCAACGCGTCGCATCCAGCCGAACAGAGTTGAAGGCTGACTGGGTGTGCCTTGCCAGAACATCACTCAGCCGGACGCGTTGTTCTTGCAGCTGGACACAAACATTGATGGCGAGCTCAGCGTGCAAGAGCGGGGCGCTTGCTTCAAAAGCGCTGCGCTTGCCGGCTTTCGCTTTTCATCCGCCACCGGGCAACTCATTTAGTGTTTCCCAGGTTTGCGCACATTGGAACCGTATTTCAGTCGCTGAGCAATGCAGCCGGGGGCTGAATGCAAAGCCTGCCACTTTGCTGCGCTTGGGTCTGTAGGTGCTGGAGATGAGGACAACACAGGCCGTGACTGACCATTGTGCTATCGGCTTGTAGCGGTGTCTCTCTGCAGGCTGCTGCCCGGCGTCTTCAGGAAAGCGTCCCGAAGCAGCAAGCCACGCCGGAGGTTGGATGTTGGACTTTTTGCAAGCATCGCGGGGATGGCACGAATTCGAGCTTGTCTGAAAAGTAGGGATCCGTCCATCCTTGGGCCCCAAATTCTGAGATCCGTTTGGCAAGGTTCTGTGGACTTGGAAGCAAGCTACTGCCAGGTGTGCAATGCTCGAAATCCGCGGCAGTATTTCTGCAGCTTCGATGCAGATTGCAAGATGGATTGCAAGGCTCGCACCTGAGCAGGGGTCTATGTTCACTACTGTTGGATCACCAAGATGCTATTGGATTATTGAGATTACTAATCTGTCTCTGTGGGGCAGTCGAGACCTGCATTTTGATCCCTCTCAGAGCGTCTGAGAGGCTTGCGGCTGGAAGAGCGCCACAGACCGTGCCTTCTCGGTGTGCGTGCAGCCTTCGCCAGAGGCGTCGCGTCAGAATCTGGCAACATCCGGGTGACGGAACCATTGCTGATTTCATATCGTCATAGCTTGAAAGGCAATAGGTAATGAATGAAAGCAAACACAGGGACATTAACATTCAGATGCCACCGGTTTCCTGGTCCTGCCAGGTGTGCCATGCGGATGGTGGGCAGGTGTGCAGTTGCTGTTTTCGACGATCGATTGTCCCGAGATGCATCAGACCCTGCGTGCAGGTCTTTTGCCCTTCGGACGATCAATGCCACCCGCCTGGTGACTGCAGCAACTGTGTAGATAGGACCGCCTCGATGATGTCCGCCCAAGTGGCAAATGCTCTCAACTAGAAATTGGCAGGACGGTTGTCGACCACGCACAGTATACTTGCTTGGCGCTTTGGTGCCTCGACGATTGAACGTTGAACGTTCAGAGCCGATCCGGTGTGCGGAATGGAAAGAAAGTGATCGCCAGGTGGGATCCTAAGCCTTTAACTGAGTGGACAAACTGGGTTTGCCGCTGGCGGAACAAGGCTCGTGCTGCATCGGAGAAAGCTCAGACGCTGTCGCATGCGCAGGTGGGCATGCCTTGCAACTTCGACCAGGAGAGAGGGATACTCTCCGCATATTTTGAGTTAGGTTTGGATTCCCTTGGACTGGTTTTTGGTCACTACTAAATAGGTCGTCTTTGCCAGGACTGCATCTATGGGATGCGGCGATGCCTGAGCGGGAATTGCATGCCCTTCCAGCCGTGCCCTCTCGGACAGGTCCGGAGAGCGAGCTTCTCTGGGGTATGTCAAGAAAAGCTCGGGGAACGCTTGGTCATGTTGCTTTTAATAAAATAGTCCCCCGCAGTTTCCCGTCCAACCAGAGGGTTCCCTCATTTCGACAAGCCATTCGCGAAGCCCGTGCGGGAATCGATCCCTAGAAAGGTACAACGCGAACCAAACCTGCGCGAGCGACTTCGATTGCCCTCATCTTGGTTTCTATTGTCCTTCCGACCCCACTGGCGGTCAGAATCCCTACTGGGCGCCGCTCTCAGCTTTACCACAGTGATTGTCAAACCACAGGGAGTCAACCAGTTGTTGAGGTTCCCCACGGCATTGCATGGATTTGGTTTTTGTTGGTTTGTTTGGTCGGCTGGCTCAACTTGCCATGTCAGGTGCAGTACTGCAGAGCCCAGCGCAGCGAAGGCATGACCTGCGCGGAGGACCGCGAGTGCCGGGCGCCCCAAGGCCTTGCCCCCGAAACGGGCCGAGGCCCAGTTGACCCGCGAGTGCCCTCTTTGGATAGTGAATTGGTTTTCAGGGGAAATCACGGGGAACCTCAAAACCAATGGTACCATTTTTGGGTAGGTGCACAACCCATTTTAGTCTATTTTAGTGGGGATTGGGATGTTCGCTGGGGGTACCGGAGTTTGACCCATGGCCACCTGTTTTGAGGGCTCTCTTTTGCATTCCGCAAAACCGGAGGCCAGCCTGGGATGCGCTGCAACACCGGGGAGCCCCAGCCTCGGTGTCGGAGCCTCTTCTCCCTGGACATAGGCCGGGCTGGGGTTCGTGTGCCCCGACAAGTGGGCGTGATTTGTGAGGATACTTTGTTAATGTTGAAACGCATGTGGAAACATGAACTGTGTTTGAAATGCTTGACCATAATGGCCCCGGCCATTTTGGCTCAAGCTTGGATCTTGGGTTCTCTGAACCCAACTTTGTGTAAAATTTGAGGGGAGTCACTTCCGAACCAACCCCGAACCAGCAATGGCCTCCTCGGCGACTTCGGCAACTTCCTTCGAGTTGATTGAGGACCAGGCACTCACCGCGGAGGAGGTGGAAATGGCCAGCCAGGAGGCCCAGGAAGTCCGCACACGCGAGGCGGCTGTGGCGGCCGGCCTGGTGTTGGATGAGCCCGAGGCGCCCCCGTCGGCACCGGCCACCGATGTGATGAACGACCTCTCCAGTGCACTGGAGCGGCTCCGTGTGGCATTCTCCACACCGACTCCCGGCCTGGGTGCCCCTGGCCCCGCCGAGGACGAGGACAAGGAGATGGGCGAGGAGGTCACCACGGAGCGGGCTACTCCACCAACGAAGAGGCTGAAGGGCTTCGTGGCGGCCTCCCAGAAGACCACGGCCCCGGTGAACAAACCGGTCTCCCTGGTGCCGGTGGATGGCCGTCCTGGCTATTTCAAGCTAGTGGACCTCCCAGACCTCTTCCCGGTCCTCCCGGCATCGGCGGCCACGTTGCTGAGGGACGTCACGGTGGAGGAGGCGGTCTCCCTGTTCCACAAGTTTGTCGGTAAGAATCTCACGGAGGACTTGGTGGTTCGCATCCTGGAGGCCTATGTTCCGATGAAGATCCAGATCAGGCAGGAGGAGGTCTGGGCCTCACAGTTCCAGCGGAATAAGGCATGCATTGGCACCCAGCGGATGCACAGATGTGTAAGGCATGCGGCACGGGGTGGCCGGAGGCAGCCAATCAATGCTGGGTCTGCCCGGGCAAGGAGTTTGTCCCCTTCCAGGCACCCTCTGCTACCTACGAGGCGGACGGCGTCACGTACAACCTGCTCATTGTGGAGGGCAAGCCGACCTGGATCCAGCAGCGGGATGGGGGAAGCCTGGGTGCCGCTGGCCCCGGTGGTACCCGGGCACAGGCAGACCGCAACCTGGTGGACGGCACGATCCTGGGGAGAGCTCCTCCGAAAACGGACACGGCAGAGGAGATCACCATGGCTGACGCGGTCCCGCTTAACAGGCGGGTGGATATCCGGCAGGAGATCCTGTCCATGGAGGCGGACGATGAGGCGTTGAAGGTCCGGGAGCGCCAGGAGGTCAAGGTCAAGGTGCAGCGGTCCCTGCAGGAGGCAGAGGCTCAGAGCTTCCAGCTCTACCACCCCCAGGTGGACCAGGCGATCCGGAAGAAGGAAGAGCTGCACAAGGCCTTGAGAGAGCACCGGGAACCGACCCCGGAGGAGTCCTCGCCAGGCAGCGGCACAAGGAGTTGGTCACGGATGAGATGCTGGACAATGAGATGGCAATCCTGGCGCCTCTCCAGAGGGCATGCAGGCCCTGCCGGCAGAGGAGGTGGCCAACGAGGGAGCCCGGCCCTCAGGAAGGTCAACCTGGAGCGATTCAAGGCTGCGAGACCAGTACCTGGAGGGTAAGGGTGTCGACGCCAGCCAGGCACTGGCTGATGCGATGGGCTCCATTCAGGAGGCGCAGGAGGCGAACAAGCGCACCCAGCACCAACCAGGCATGGATGCTTAACCACACCCTCCAGCCCCTTGGAGGTGTCGGCATGGCCAGATGATCTCAGCTTTTCTGCCCCCTGGAGCTGGATGACCCCGAGGACATCCCCTGGGGGACATCAAGGAGAAGTACGTCCCCTACATCCGGAGGCTCAGAGAGGCACAGAACCCGTGGAACCAGCAGGAGGCGTTGCTGGAGGAGATGCCCGATCTGGCGACGCCGGCCCCCCCCAAGGGTGCCACTGGCCCTGGGGGGGACCAGCCAATGCCACCGCAGGACCTGGACTCGGAGGAGGGTAAGCTGTCCTTGCTCCTCTGGGCGATGAAGAGGCACCAAGGGGAGCTACGGATGTTTGGGGGGATCTGGAAGAAGCACTCCAGCGGCGAGATCCCCAAGGGCGCGGACCAGCAATTCAAGCTCTCGCCGGAGGAGCTCCTGGCCCTGGAGCGCAGGACCCACCCACTCACGTGTGAGCGGGACCACATCGACCCGATCATCTACTCGGCCCTGGAGATCCGAGCGCAGGTGAACCGGGGTGAGCGCCCGGCGCCGGAGCAGGTGGTGGGGATCTTCTGGGCTAAGGGCGATGGCGTGTTTTGGACGAGGCAGACTCGCACGTGGGACCTGCCGAGCTTGACGGGGGTGTACGCCCACCGATTCACCTTCAAGTACATCTACTCGGCTTGGACCACATTCCCGCTGGTCGTGAAGACGCAGCGACGGGGCCGCAATGCGGAGGGCTCGACTTCGGATAAGTGGATGGGGAACATCCTCCAGATGCGGAAGGAGGCGGTCCCCTTCCTGGAGAGCCTGGGAATCCCCAAGCCGCGCAGTAAGGCGGAATGGAGCTACATCTTTAAGGAGATGGGGACGTTTCTGGCCGCCAAGAACTTCATCGTCAATTGCCCATTGCCGGTGATGGAGCTCCCAGTGGCCCCCGTCCACGACAGCAAGGAGGCCCTGCGTTTCAGGGCGATCTGTGACGAGCGCATCACTCTCCCGCTGTCATCGTTGAGGGCTTTTGACTCGGTGTACACCAAACTGGTGGCAGGCCTGAGTAAGTCCTCCATGGTGGAGATCAAGGTCAACTGGCGTTGCAACGTGGTCCATGACTGGGTGGAGCCGGTCCCGCAGGAGGCGGCGGGGGCCCTGTACGACCGTCTGGGCTACTCCCAGGACCTGATCAGGCAGCTGGGCTGCTCCCCCCCCTTGGGTGCCTCTGGCCCCGGGGGCGGGGCGGCCAAGGAATCGGACCCCAAAGGCCAAGATTCTTGCGGGAGCGGACACCACGCTCCGCACGCCGGACCAGGGCACCAGACGGTACCCCCCGATCACCACGTCCACGGTCATGGCGGTCGGAAGTACATCAACAAGCACTTCCCGAAGGAAACCAAGCACGTGTTCTGGGCCTCGGTGGAGTGCGGCCTGGTCCTGCCCAGCATCAGCGCATGGGAAGTGGTGGGCAAGGAGAAGTTCAAGACCACCGGGGGCTACATGTGCAGGTTCTGCAAGGGCTTCTGGAAGGCGAGCCGTGGGGGGACCCGGCTGCTCCAGATTACGGGGTGGCACAAGGACAAGGCCACCTGCCTGCAGCTGGTGATGGACGAGCCCCCGGAGCAGCTATATAATCAGTGGATCCGGGACAGGATGGAGTTCTACAAGCGGGTGGAGCCGACGGAGCCCCCCAGGGACGAGCGGCTAGTCCTTGGAGATGCGAGTTCGAACGGCCTGGGGGATGTCTCCACTGCCCTGTGGTCGGTCATCCTGAGCAACCCGGAAAAGTCAGGGCTGGCGGCCATCCACTCGGTGGCAAAGGAGGCGATCTTGAAGTGAGAGCCGCTAGGTCGTGTCTCACTACCCTTTTGGATGTGGCGTAGTATGTTCTCTCCCCACCGGGACTTGGGTGCCTCCGGCCCCGTCTTGGGTGGGGGGAGGTGTTGGGGTGTTTCCCTTATTTTGGGGTTCTTTGTTCACCTTGGTTTCCCCCCTGTTCAACACGCCACGACGGCCGGTTGCCTCGAACCGGAGGCTGCGCAATTTGGCTGCCCCAAGGACGGGCCGTATCGGCCACTGTTTGAAGAAAGTGGCTGCGGCCGACTCTGGGTTCCCTGAGGTCCCCTGGGGGTTTTGGGGAATCCCCTGCTGGGTGGGTCTTTCCCCTCCGTGGTTTTTTTTGGGGATTTCCGGGGGGTTTGACTTTTGGGCCCTGTTGGGCTGCGTGTGGCCTGCCTGCCCCATTTGCATTCGGCATACTGTGGGGTTGGAACATTCGTGCAGTTTGCCGCGGTTGGGTCCCGGCCGTTCGATAGGAGGCTCGAATCCTTGTTTTCAGCATGGCTAGGATCTCTACACAGTTTCTGTTGCGCCCGCCTTACACTCGTCTTTGGGACCGCATCCCAAGGGTCCTGTGGGACACGCTGGCGGATGAGTCTATCTCCCCGAGACAGACAGACGGGGAGCTGCTGGTCCTGATGTGCCTGCGCCATGGCACGGCGGAGGAAGGGAGCAGCTGAAACGGGGCCGGCCCTCCGATTCGCTCAGCTCCTGGAACTCTCGGGCATTCCGGTGGGCCAGGCGGACCAAGTGGTACCAACGGACTACTTCAACGGCCTGGTGGCGTCGGCGGCGGGCAGGCTTCCCCAGCCTCTGTCCGCGGGGGACCTGGCCGACCTTTATGGCGGCTGCGGACGGCAAGCTCAGCGAAAACTTTTCCCCGCTGGAGAATGAGTGGGACCGCCAGGACCAACTGAGGTGGTTCTCGCGAGATGACCCACCCCCACTCCAACAGCCGGAGCTTCTGAAGTGGCGGCGCTGGAGGCCCGGGAAGATCAGGGAAATGGAACCCACGACTCAGCGAGCACTGGAACTCCATATGCGCGGGAAATGGGCGGAACGGCTCCTTGCCCACTTCGCCCCCTTTGCGGAGCACATTGCATACATGCAGGACATCCTGGGGGAGGACTTCCGCAAGGAAGCACTGGACCTCTTGGGGGATAGCAGGTTCCGGACGCTCAGGCAACACTGCCTGGTCTACGAGAGTCTCCGCAAGAGAGGCTTCACCGTCATCCCATGGCAGGAACGACATGTCCGTTCTCTCCTCAACCAGCTCGCAGATGAGGAGGTCACCCCGTGCAAGTTGCGGCAGGTGTGGAACACCCTCAAGTGGTTTTCCAAGACCTTCGGACTGCTGAAAATAGACGAGCTCCATCGCCTCAAGTCCAAGAAGAGCTCATTGGAAGAGGCGCTCACGGACACGGTCACCAGGCCACAGCGTAAGGCGGTGGTCCCTAGCAAGGAGGTCA